GGCCAGAGCTCCCTGAGATGACAGATGCTGATACACCTGAAGGAGAGAGTAGGAAGCAGCTCAGGGAAACCAGGAACAGTCTGGCTGGGAGCTGACCTGACAATGTCAGCATGTTGTGGGTGGATCCCTGCTGACCCAGTGGCAGACCACTCTGTCACTGGTAGGTCCCTGGGCTGGGGCATAGTGGAGTTGGGTGGGCCCATATCTTCCCCCCATTCCCCTGCCACTCCATCCCTGGGATGGCAATATCCCCCTCCTTAGACCGGGAGGCCTGTGCTCCTTTAGTGACCCTATCTGAGCCCCACAGACTGCTTAGCTGCTGTGCCCTGATTGTGGGCCAGAGCCCACCCATTGCTTTGCTGCCCTTCCTGGGCCTCATAGATTGCCATACTGTTCTGCCTGGCTGGAGGATCAGAGCACTAGGTGAAGCTAATACTCCCTTTTGAGCTCACCTTTACAGGTATGTGACAGTGAGGCTGCATAGCCTCTCTCAGAGAGTGACAGGGAGAGACCGCCATGCAGCATACAAGGTCAATTTGTTTTAATATGCCCCAAAGTAATTTAATAATGTCCATGGTGTTATGTAAAATGCAGATCAGATTGACTATAATTTCCATACAGTGGACTAGTTTGACCCATAGTTGTTGGATGGTATTTTAGATGTTAGGTTTCTAATGTTGTTGTGGGTGTTTTTCTTCAATACACTTCTAGGGTCAAGAGTGAGGATGTTAGCCCTAGCTGTGCCTTCTTCAAGTTGCCTTTTAAATGGTGAATCCTTTCCCAAACAGATTATTTTTGTAGACACCATACTGAGGCTGAAAGTTAAATCCATAAACAGTTGATTTGTCTGGACAATAGACCGTTTACTGTTGTGATAAAAGATTGATGAGTTGTATTTGTATGCTAGCAGCAGAAAAGCACTCAGTCTCAGCCATATGGTTTGGAGGATCTTTAGAGAATTTACTAGATGCTTTGCTACAAAACATCTGGCATAAATTCTCACTGTTTGTACACATTCCCTGTACTTCAATTCTGTATATTCTAGAAACAAGTATTTTATTATATTATGAAGACTTGTTAAACACAGAACTGCTTTACTGCAGCACTAGAAGTTTATAAATCAAGTCATTAATTTTAAAGGTTCCCACATTGATTGCTAAACAAACAAACAGCAGAATGTTTAAGCCTTTACCGTCTTTGCATCCCAGTGTGCTGCAAAACATTTCATACACTCACTTTGCTACAGCCCTTATTTCAAACTTGACTGTCTTCTTTGTCCTGTCCCTCCATCCCCCCACAAACTGCATCTTAGAATTTGCCTTCTTTCCAGTTGTAGATGGGACTCAGGTGTGCTCTAGGTACACTGATGACTTAACACCACCTCAGGTATCTCCCTATATAAGCTGGATTTCAACAACCACTTGCCTGAAGGATAGAGGTCTCCAGAATTTCTAAACATGTTTTCAGCGGAAGTGTCAAGTGTTTTCTTCCAGGCTCTTTTTAAATGGGATACTTGAGTGGAGGAAAACAGGATGCTTTGTATTCTTATATAGACATACTTAGGCTCCAATCCTACAAACATTTGTGCACATACTTAACTACTGCGAGTATTTGCATTGAAATCAATGAAACAGCAGCAGCCCCAGCAACTCCTTAGCATCTTGGTCAGCCAGCAGTCCTGGGAGCTCATGGTAAAACTAAGCACGTGCGTAAGAGTTTGTAGGATTGGGGTATTAGATTGCAAGCTCCTTGGAGCAAAAGGTGCCTTTTTGTTCTGTTTGTATATTGCCTAGCACAATGGGGGCATGCTCCATGATTGGATAGACACTTAGACAATGAAATAATTTGTATTATAGTTACTCATGGAGTCATGACCTAAACCCAGTCACCTAACAGGATGCAGGAAACCACTGTGCTATACTCCTATCAAGAATGAAGATGCATACTATAGAGATTCATAGAGCTTAAGGTCAGGAGGAACCATTAAATCATCTAGATTGACCTCCTGTATATCAGAGTCCCTTACATTTCACCCAGTTACTCCTGTATGCAGCCCAATAATTTGTGATTGACTAAAACATTTCTTCCGGAAAGGCATCCAGTCTTGCTCGAAAGAAATCAAAAAATTGAGAATCCATCGCTTTCCTTGGTAGTTTCTTCCAATGGTTCATCACCTTCACTGGTGGACACTTTTTTGCCTCATTTCCAATTTGAATTTCTCTGGCTTCAGCTTCCAGCCATTAGTTCTTATGCCTTTCTCCACTAGATTAAAGAGCCTGTTCATACCCAGCAAATTCTTCCTATGAAGGTATAATCAAGACACTTCTCAATCTTCTTTTTCATAAGGTAAACAGATTGAGCTCTTTAAGTATCTCACTGTAAGGCATCTTCTCTGACCCTTGAATCATTTTTGTGGCTCAACATGGAGCAGGTGAAGACCAAATCAGGCTTTATTTATGCTGTAATGGCTTCACTCTTATGCTTCTAAACCTCCTCACATACCATTTATTCCCTTGCAGTGGTAGAGTATATTACCCAGCCCCGGCAATTCATTCTGTATGGCTGGACCTGCACAGAACCCCACTGAATTTCATGGTACCATGTATAGGGCCTATGATGGCTATTGCATTAATTTATGTATCCTGTGCTTAGATGCCATACTGCTGATGTGAAAACCTATGAAATTATGGACATATATAGGAAGTAAAACTTCTGGCTAGGGAGAGGGGCAGTTGGGGATAGTTTTAATACACAAAAAATTGAATAAGGTGTGTCAAGAGGTGTTGCTTGTATGTTGATTCCCTTCCGCCTAATTTTTGTATCTGTCTTTAAAGATTGTGAGCTCTTGCGGAAAGGACTGATTTCTCTTGTACATCTGTAGTGTCTGGCACATCTTAGGTGTGACTGTTACTCCTGGGGGAATTCTGCGCCACTGCACATGCACAGAATTTATGTCCCCTGTTGATTCATTTCCCTGCAGAAAAATGACTTTCTGACAGGGCAGCCACAAAAGCGGTCCTACAACTCTCTCCAGCAGTATGTTTCGGGTGCCCAGGGCAGCCGGCAGAGAGGTAAATCACTGTCGGGTGCAGGCGGAACTGGGGAAAACATGGCTGGTGGCTCCTACCCTGCGCCAGGCTTAGCTGCTAGTCCCAGCTGGGCTGGTGAGGATGGGACTTCCTCTTCCCCTGCACGGCATCTGGGGCTGGGTCAGACCCACCCAAATTTCTCCCCCAGTTGTAGGAAGCTCTGCAACCCTCTCTTTCTCCCTCCCCTGCCCCCCCCACGCTTCCTGCACCCATTGCTCCTCAGCTGCAGGGGGAGAGATCCCTGTACAGTGCATGTATGGATGGTATGCACCCATCCATACATCCAGACCCTTCTGCACCCTGATTCTCTCCCTGCCCCCCCAAATGAGCCCCACTCCTCCTGGACCACCCCCACAAGCTACCCGCACCTGGATCTCTCCCCCCAACCACCTGCACCTGGATCCCAACCCCATTGAGCCTCATTCCCCCAGCATCTGGGCCCCCCACACTGACCCCCCCCCCAGCTGAGCCCCAACCACTTTCACCTGGACCCCCCTGCCGAGTCACATTATTGTTGCACCCAGAACCCCCCAAGACCCTGTCCATCTGGATTCCCCCCTGAGCTGCCAGCACGCAGATTGCTCCACACACAACCCTCTCAACTCACACCTAGATTCTCCCACCACACTAAGCCCCTCCACACTTGGCTCCTGCTTTGCAGGCAGGCACCTAGCACAGAGGGGCAGGCCCAGTCCTTGTGCTGTGTCAGGGTTGCATGCAGCCTCACCACTGAGTCTATGTCCTGGGATAGGGGAGCTACACAGTGATCTCCAGTGCCATGCTGGAGCCTCCACTTTTTTTTTGTTGACAATTTGCAGAATTTTAATTTTTTTGGCACAGAATGCCCTCGGGAGTAAAATTAGCAAAACAATAATTTTACTGGCCGGACAGGCACCCTCAAAATAACTTCAATAGTGAAAGGAGAGATGGCTTGTACTATTGCTAGCAGATCAGCTGAAGGGCATGATGGCCAAAGGATGAGCATGCCCTCTGAGGAAAAGACTGCAACAATGAGAACTCTTAGTAAGACCAAAGTTTCCTGCCTTTCTGTACAGAATGTAGCACAGCCTCTGACAGGCTGGACTTTCTATCACTAAGAAGGTAATGATTTTCACTTTTGATGTGCAAGTTTCCTTCATGAACGTGTGATCCAGCTTGCAATGTATTTGAGATTCAGAGATGGTTTAAAAGGTATAGCAAATGCAGGGAATCTGTTTTGGAGTGCCAGTACCCAAAGGGAAACTGGCTTTTTTCCTTGGCAATTGCGGCTATACTGCCAAAGTGTGCAATTCTCATCTGTTGGAGTTGATGTAAACCAAAAACAAATACAAGTATTACTTAACCATTTTCATCTCTACACTCCATAACCATTACCTTATGGAAGTGGGGGGAGGGGGGTGTATGAAGTATTTTCCCCCCTCTTTTTCATTGCTCCCCAAGCACCAGAGAACACTCTTCTCTTCTCTCCCCCTCTCTCACTCCCTCCCCCCTGCACTTCAAGGGAACTCTGTGAATAACCCACCCATGTTTGTATTTTCTTGACCTTTTGAGATGCTATAGGCCACTTCAGTGGATTATTTAGCAGGGATACTGCATAAAAAAGGATGCCAGTAAATAGACTTGGCAATTTCAAAATCTTTTTCTTAAACTAGTTTTGCTGCTTTCTGCTCAATATAAGCTTTTATTTGAAAAAAGTTTCTAGCTACCTTCTAAAAGGTAAATGTTAACGTCAGTGAAATCTACCCACAATGTGGGAATGCATCAGAATAAACCCTTCTCCGTCCTAACTTCCAATCTTGTCAAGCCATAGTGAAGATTCAAGTGTGAGATTTCAATAAAAATGACAACATAGTAAAATATTGATAAGAGCTTACCGCTATAAAAAGGCTGCATTGATCAAAGAACGCCAGCTTTGTCCCATTCATTTTATTCACTAATATGTACCACTTACAATTCATACAGAACATTCTAAACAACTTAATGTTAGATTAAAAAATAGAGGATTTTAAAAAGCCAGAGAACTAGTATGTGGTGTAATATTAGGTTTTTCTTTTAAAAACTAAGTCTAGATTTCATTTGCTTTGTGAAAATTTTAATGTTTTTAAAATTATCATTGTAGTCTGTCTGACAAATGCCCCATTTAATTTCCCCTTTCATTAAATTATCCATTTTAGAAATTCAAGCATACAGAAAAATTCTATGTTGGTAAGACAGGAGTTAAGACTGAAATTGTTCTCAAGTATAACACATTCCATTAAAAATTTCAGACTAAATCCTGCTTTTACCTGTCAAATCATCTTCAGAAAATTACAGTACAGTATCAGGTATGACTTTAAAATGTTCAGTGTTGCACAAAATCAAACCAGATTTGATATTCTCATCCAAAGAGTCTGAGTTTGATCCTACACCATTCAAAATATACTTTGTTAGACATAAAATATTTTATTTTTAAATTCTACAGTATGGATGATGAAAGAAACAGCCTGTGCCAACATAACTGCAGCATGCACTCACCATTGTACAGCATAACACCCCCCCCCCAATTTTTAATATTTGAGATCTGGACATAATACTCTTGCGTGTACATCACAGCTGCTCTCAGATCAACAAGCTTCTGTCAGAAAGGAGAGTGACGTTTCAAGTCATAAGAGCAGGAGGAACAAGAGGATGACACATCTGAAAGCCTAAGTTTTGTGCACATATTTATGACCCATGTTGAGTCACTGGAGAGCAAAGCTAAAAAAACAAAGACTGCTTAGGTATCTAAACTTTGACTATACGTTTGGGTGTGGTTTGTGGTGGTTTTTTTTTTCCCTCCTTTCGCCTTTCACTTTTAAAGGCAAATCCAAAGAAACTTATCAGTGGTTTGGCTTTTCATTTAATCTTCTCTGGGTGTCTTAGCTGTGTAGTGATCAGCTTCCAATTTCAGGTCTTAAGATTCCTAGTTGCGAACCATATGCTCTGGGACCTGCAGTAACAGAAGACAAGCATGATATAATTATATTGTGGTGTTCTCTAGTATTGCAGAGCTGTTCATTAGAACAAGAGAGACAAAAGGAAAAGTCCATGGGGAAGGGGAGATAATAATGGATGACACAAAGAAGGCAAAAGTGTATAATGCCTAGTTGCTTCAGTCTTCATTAAAAAGATGCTTAACAAAAATTAACACAAACCAAAATAGGGTAAGAACTGGTTATAGAAATATTTAGATATGTTAGATGTATTCAGAGAGTCAGAGCCTGATGAAATTCACTCTAGGATACTGAAGCAATCTCAGAATCATTAGCGATTATCTTTGAGAACTCATGGGTGAGGTCCCAGAGGAGGGCTGTGAGAGGAAGGGGTTAAAGCAGTGTTCTTGGCAGCAAAAGCCACACCTCGCCGACCCTACTGGGCATTCTCCAACTGCTGCTGCTACAGTATAAAAGGGAGCAGCCTAGCTCAGTCTCAGCTGGCTGCCAAGGAGGAAGGAGACAGCTTGCCTGCGTCAGCTGAGGAGTAGCCAGAATTCCAGATCACAGGAGATGCCGAGTCCCCAGGGAGACTCCACCTGAGGAGCCCAGAGACTCCCAAGACACCACGATTTCAACTGCAAGAGTCACGGTAGGAAGTAGCCCAGGGAGGGACGAGCCAGTGTCCTGGCAGCAGTCAGCATGTTACGGACGGATTCCCCGCTGACTTAGTGGTGAACCCATTCACCACTACCAGGGCCCTGAGCTTGGACCAGGGAGGGCCTGGGTCCCCCTACCTGGCTGCCTCCTTTGGGGGGTGGCCCACCAAACCACCTCCCACTGACTGGCCATTAGGCTGTGCTTCCCCACAGCCAAGGGGAACCCCTCTGACTTTGGCTATTAGGTCATGCATCCCAAGGGAGTCCTATTGACTCTGGCCGTTGGGCCAAGCTTCCCTGTAATCCAGGGGAGTCCTATTAGCTTTAACCCTGAGCCTACCCTGCCCTTGCCCCACCTCCAGGGGGTGGGGTGTACTGGCCCTATGACAAGGGCAAATACTGTACCTATCTTTAAAAAGAACAAAGAAGAGCAAGGCAATTATAGAACAATCACCCTAACTTTGAAATCTGGAAAGATATTTGAACAAATTATGAATCAATTTGTAAGCATCTAGAAGATAACAGGGTTTAAGTAATAGCCAGCAAAACAAATCATGCCAAACCAACCTCATTGACAGTGTTGCTGGCCAAATGGATGGGGGGAAGCAGTAGGTGTGACATTTTGATTTTTAGTAAGGGTTTTTGACACAATCCCACATAAAGAAACTAGGGAATGTGGTTTAGATTAAATTACTATTAACTGGTTGAAAGACCATACTCAAAGAGTAACTACCAATGGTTCTCTGGTGGGGTTCTGCAGGGGTCAGTCCTGAGTCCTGTACTAGTCAACACTTTCATTAATGACTTGGATAATAGAGTGGAGAGCATTCTTACAATCTGCAGGTGACACCAAGCTGGGAAGGGTTGCAACCACTCCGGTGGACAGGATTAGAATTCAAGACCAGCTTGACAAATTGGACAACTGGTATGAAATGAACAAGAAGAAATTCAATAAAGGCAAGTGCAAAGCACTATGCTTAGGAAGGAAAAATCAAATGCATAACTACAAAATGGGGAATAACTGTCTAGGCAGTAGTAGTGCAGAAAAAGATCTGGGAGCTATAGTGGATCTCAAATTGAATGAGCCAGCAATGTGATTCAGTTGCAAAAAAGGCTAATGTCATTCTGGGGTGTATTAACAGGAAGTGCTGCATGTAAGACACACGATGGAGCTGTCCCCCTCTATTCCACACTGGAGAGGTCTCAGCCGGAGTAGTGTTCAGTTTTGGATGCCATACTTTAAGAAATATGTGAACAAACTAGAGAGAGTCCAGAGGACAGCAACAAAAAACTGTTACAAGGTTTAGAAAACCTGACCTAGGAGGAAAGGTTAAGCTGGATATGTTTAGTCTTGAGAAGACTGAGGGAGACCTGAAAACAGACATCAAATATGATAAGGGATCTTAAAGAAGATGGTAGTCAATTGTTTTCCATGTTTAATGAAAGTAGGACAAGTAGTAATTGGCTTAATCTGCATCAAGGGAGACTTAAATTACCTATTAGGGGAAAAACTATAGGATAGTCAAGCACTGGAACAGGCTTCCAAGGGAGGTTGTGGTACCCTGGTCAGTGGAAGTTTTTATGAATAGATTAGACCAGAGGTTCTCAAACTGTGGTTCGTGACTCTGTTTTGATGGGGTCACCAGGGCTGAAGCCCAGAGCCCCGAGCAAGGCTGAAGGTAGGGGGGGGGGGGTCACGATTTTTCTTAAGTCTAAATGGGGTCACCAGCACAAAGTTTGATAAACACTGGACTAGACAAACATCTGTCAGGGATGGTCTACATATACTTCATCTCGCCTTAGCACAGGGAGCTGGACTAGATGACCTTCTGAGGTCCCTTGTAGCCCCACATTTCTATGATTTCCTACTTCATAGGATAGGAGAGTAAAGGTGTCAGGGCATGCCATCCTAACATAGCTGTGCCTTTCTTGTATTGTAGCAATGTGTGACAAAACAGACCAGCTGAGTTCCGCCTTAGCACCATGATGAGAACACCAAAATGCAATATTAGGACTTCATGCTGCAATTTTTTTAATTATGCACCTCCAGATTGGTGCTCCAACTCAAAGATAAGTGTCTCTGCTTTAGATTAGGCAGTTACGCCTGGTCCATTCTATTAGGAGAGCTTGCAGAGAACACTATATTTGTTGAGAGCAGGCATCATTCACCATGCCAACCATGCAAAGGAGAGTACTATTTTGTGCAAGTTCATAGAAGAAGCAAGTAATATTTATCAATTGCTGTTGCCTTTTTTTCCTTGTGTGTGTTTTAGGGGACCTATGCTGAAGGAATGCAAATGGCATGATATCGCAAAAAAAATTAATTTCTTTGAGACACCTCTGGTGGTATGTAAGGTTTGAACTCTTCATAGAGCTTAATTTTCAAGAATTAAGAATAAATTCACTAGCTTCAAGAAAAAGAGAAGTTACCAGCCAATTATTTCCTGCATTTGATTACTTTACAAGGAGCACCATTGTCCTTATTAGAAGTGTATAAACTTGTTAACCACTTCTATGCCTAAGCATTACCAATCAAAAGTCATTACTATTACTGCCAGCTTCTAAGTACACCTCTACCCCGATATAACGCGACCCGATATAACACAAATTCGGATATAACGCAGTAAAGAAACTCCGGGGGGGCAGGGCTGCGTGCTCCGGCGGATCAAAGCAAGTTCAATATAACGCGATTTCACCTCTAAGGCGGTAAGATTTTTTTGACTCCTGAGGACAGCGTTATATCGGGGTAGAGGCAGTGGTGAGCTGGAGCCGGTTCCCACTTGCGAACCGGTTGTTAAAATTAGACGCCGGTGTAGAACCGGCTGTTAAGGGGTGGGCGGGTGGGCAAACAACTCCAGTCCGTGGGCCACATCCGGCCCACGGGACTGTCCTGTCCCCCATCTGAGCTCCCAGGAGTCCCAGCTGGGGAGGCCGAGGCTCCCCCCAGCCCCTCCCCCCCTCCGCAGAGCCGCAGCATGCCGAGCCGCCAGCAGCTGGGCAGTTCAGCTCCTGAGTCCTGCTGCTTTGAGCGACTGCAGGCAAGGTGTGTGTGGGGT